ATGTACATATACTCGCCTAAAAAGCAAAGATAATACGTAAATATCATAATATAAACGCCATAAGTGACTATCTTCCAAATCTTAATCTACATTACCTTATGATTAGATGTATTGGGAATCATTTACTTTAAGTCTAGAGAGAAGGATCGAAGTGTTAAAGAGTTGAAAAACTCCGAAATAAGGAATGCCTTAGACAATTAGACAAATTTAAGCCAAGAAACCACACATTCACATTTACCTTGTTAGAAAAGTCACTGTCCTGGTCGCTCATGCCTTCATTCCAATCAGCTTCATCCTCATGCGTAGTAGAATAATTAACCTGTTTTCGAACTCGTTTTCCCTTACCAAGAGCCCGAGACTGATCCTCTTGAGCCTGCTCGAAGTGGTGCCTAAGCAGCTTTTCCCAATAGGTTGGATCTGCTGGGTCGATCTCCTGCTTAATGACCTACAGCATAAGAAAAAAAAGGGTTTCTTGCATTGGAAAGAATCTAAAGATGAACAAAAATACATAATGAGGGAAATTTGATTTGATCCATTATTTAGTATGAGAAGTTGACTGGAACAGATATATAATTTTGGGCCCTCCAAAATTGAAATAATAATCTGACACATCACCTAAGAATATTAAACAAAGGATAGTAGATGCCTGCCATTAAAGACATTTTATGACTTGGTTAGCTATCTCATGCTTATCCTTACTCTTTTGTAGGTTATGTAATGTTAATGCGTAATCTGATATTTGTGTGTTGTGTAATTATGCGATGCGCATGAGTGAGATGAGATGTGAAGAACTTAGACAAACTTGAGGTTAATCATCTTAGCTTGTTATTGGAATTAGAAGAATCCTGAAATTCACGAAGAAAGGTGTAACTCTTTATATGATTGATTTTCTAAGAAATTTATCTTCATGAATACTCAAGGAATTGTAGTAACAAACAAAGAATAACGTGGTCTAACCACTAGTTTTGGTCATATTAGCATAAAAACCTAAAAGAAGCATCGTTTCTGGAGTCCATAGTATGTATAATCATTTCCAGTCAGACAGTGGACTTGGTAGATTCCCAGAAGTTCCACTGGCATTATCAGTGAATTTTGCCATTCTCAGAAACCAAATACAACTATATATATATATATATATATATATGGTCGCCTGCTGCATATCAAGTGGATTATTAGCCGATTTGGTCACAATGACCGATTTCTGTGCCAATATCCCTTGCCCTAGTCACGTGAAATGTCAGACCCCCAAATTATAGTTGTCTATTCGGGCTGTCTACTCTCACTGAAAACATCTTCGCTTCATTTTCGAAACCTCCTCATCCTTTTCTTCTTTGCGATCCCTTTTCCTATGGTTCACGATAGATCCTTGATCCAGGCGTATCCTTTTTGATTGTCTTGATGCATCCCTGCTTTCGCCGAGTTTGATTAGGCAATAGGCAAATCTATCACTGACTCTGCCTTCTTCCAATCTTCTGCTCATTAATTTCCCCCCCAATGATGTCAATAGCCTCCTTAATCTTCGGTTTCTTTGTGCTTTCACTGTATGAGGCCCTTCTTTCTGTTGCCTCCCAAGTGATCTCGTGTTCAGTCTCTACGATGTGTTCCGCCATATTTCTGTTCGCAGACACCTCATGCTATGCAGTAAGTTACTGAGCAATCCAATGTATCTACCCTCTCATGGTGCGTAAGTAGACTTGTGAAAAGTTTGGTTTTTTCCTTCGTGGTCACCTGAATATTCCATTTTCTTAATATTGGCCGTCGTTTTTGAGTTTGTTCACAGGAAGGGAAATATATACACTTTTGTGAGTTTTTCTCCATCTCTATCTTATTTTAATAATCTCCGTCTTACATCGGCTTTTCATGCCTAGTATATTTCTTTGAATTACTTCTCTCAGGTATCCATTACCAAGGAATATCCGAGTCAATTTTTCCTATTATTCATTTCATAATTCCTCGTACGTTAATGGTAGGCTTTTGATGATCATGTCCCTCAGTATACCTCTCTTCGTTCTGTAGTTGTGATGAGATTCTAAAGTGGTTATTATTTCGGCTTGACTTCTTTCAGAACAATATCCTTTTGAGTGTTCCAGTAGAGCGAATAACCTCCACATCTAGGAAGTCCAAACGCTCCTCTTTCTCTACATCCATTGTGAATTTGATTTTTTTCATAAACCCTGTTCATAAACTTCAGGAAATCCTCCAACTTTTCTCTTCCATGCGACCATATTGTAAAGTAGTCATCCAGGTACCGTATACTAACTCTTGGTTGCAGCGGTAGTACCTTAAAATTCTCTTCTTATTTGTCCATGTATGTTCATAGATAACGCTATTTAAAGAGAAGTAGGCAGTACTTATTGCCAAGTTTATTAGTCATGTTAACCACTTCATTCTGATACTCTCTGCTTCTAGGATATCCTCTTCTCGATCAAAAATGTCTAACAGAGCCGTCAGGGCCTTTTCTCTAGAAGTGTTTGTGTACATAGATTGTATATCCAAACTTACCAGTAACTTCCAGTGTTATTTTTTTGATCCTATGGGATAATTCATGAGTGCACCACTGTGTTTGATAATCTGTCGTTTACCTTCTTGTGTTTAGGACATATGAACTTGGCTAATTTGTGTTGCTCCAAACTTATTGTTAAATATCAGCCTTAGTGGTTTTCGTTTTTTATATAACTTCGGCAACCCGTAGGCTGTTGGCGGTAGTGCATCCTTCTTCATAAGTTAGTTTATTGTCCATCCATTGATCTCACCGTTCTTGTGCATGCCTTTCAGAATATCCCGAAAGGTTCCATTGATCTTCATAATCGGGTCCTTCTTTAGTACATGATACTTAGTTCTGTCTTGCAGTATACATTCCATTATCTCGGTATATGTTTTATGTCCATCACAACTGTCGCTTTTCCTTTGCCCACCTAAGTACCAATTGTTCATTCCTTTCTAGGGTTCTTCGTATCCTCGCAAATCTGTTCTTGTGCATTGATGCATGTGTCAAGATTATAGGGATTATTTAAATCTCCATTTACAATTTTGTCTCCTGAGGTCTCGACGGAAAGTTAGCCAAGGTATTGACTTCATTTGTCTCTTTGACGAGTTTTAGCTTGGCTGCAGAGAATGGCAAGACTCACTGATGATGCTAACTACGATGTCGGCGAAACGTCTGCGAATGTACCAAGTTCACAATCCGACTCTGGAAATGATCATGCATACTATGGATTCCGGACAAGGTGCGTTCCCCTAGGTCCCCTGGGTAAGAAAGAAGGAATGCTCCATCACATTGGCACCATGCATCTGCAAACACGTAATTATAATCATGAATTAGCTCACCAAATCATAGGCGCACCCAAAAGGATGCGCCTGAGTGTTCAGTGTTTAAATCAATATTCTTCCTTCGCTTTCAGCCTTGGCAAATTTGTGGATACCTTCAGCCTGACCTTTTATACTTAGTTGCATGCAATTATAAAATGAGTTTAAAAAGAGCTCCAACTACTATTTACATATAGTAAATGTTTTTGGCTTAAAAATTTCCTTTTTCTCTTACATTTAGGCTAAATAAATAGAGGTAAAAAAAAACAAGGAGACTTCGACCAAACCAAAGGCCACACCATCATTGTATTCATATCTACGATGTAATACATCAATGCCTACCTCTCGGTTTTCATCTTCTTCTTCAGACTCCTCGCCTGACTCGCCCTGAACCTCCTTGCGCTCATAATGGGCCACTTTAAATGAACTCAGATAGTCGTTCATCTCCATCATCTTCTCTTGCATGCCTTGTTGACTTCTATCAAGGAGACGCTCAATTGCAGAGTCATCGTAGACGATACAGTGTTCATCATTTTCTATAAAAAATTTATAAAAAAACAGTCTTATAAAGGCTTAAGTAAGAGTAAATAAACTGAAAAAAGGATAAGGAACAAAATAATTCGTCTCTCTCAATGCGGTAATTGTATCGCTCATTATGTAGCTTGCACTTTCGTGCAAAATTAAATTCAACAAAACAGTGCAATCGCAGAAAATTAATCGAAAATAGGCTTTATTTCGCTTTGCAAATTATTACAATGTACAGGCTAGGAGAAATGTGGTGACAACAATAACAAAGGAGTAACTGTGATCAATTTTTTTAACCTAGAAAGGAACGCAATTGTTAAGCGAAAAATGTGACCAAAATAATATGGATGAATCTAATTTAACCAGATAAAAATTAAAGGATGTATGGCAAACGGTAAAAAAATCATCACAGAGTAATAATATGCTCAGCCAAATCGTTCAGATGATAAAACCTGGCCTTAGTCAAATGCATCCAGAAGTAAATGGCTGGGAAGGAGGGAAGGATAAATCATAGTATGACCATTAAATCGACGTAAGCAAAGGATCAGGAAGAAATGAAGACCAAGATGGTGTGAATATGGTATGGTCGCAGTCCCATTTCGATATATAGAAGTGAACTGACATCGTTTTTGCAAATTGATAGCGTTGTCAGGAGAACTTAGTTGGACACATCTATTCCGAAGTCATCTACTATAGTACTTATCATAATTTCCGGCGTCAGACCGTGGACGTGGTACATTTCCAGACTTTTCGACTTTAACGTAAGTTAGTCATACCAATTATAGCAGAAAATACAACTCGACAAAGAGAAAAATGAGTTCGACCCTTTGACAAATAGTTAGCCGAAGCTGTAGGGTTATTACTGCGGTTTCTTGGAGAATTTTCAGTTAGTTTAAAGTAACGAATAAAAGAGATACGTTAAT